GAGGGTTTATATCTACGCTTGTATTTGTACATAGACTGGTACTAGCTGTATGTAAACACACACACACACACACACACACACACACACACACACACACACACACACACACACACACACACACACACACATACACACACACATACAACTTTCTCTCTCTCTCTCTCTCTCTCTCTCTCTCTCTCTCTCTCTCTCTCTCTCTCTCTCTCTCTCTCTCTCTCTCTCTCTCTCTCTCTCTCAACCCTTTCTCGTCTCCCCTCTCCTCTCATTTTCCCTTTCCCCTCCCTTCGCTGAGCAGACATTCGGGGGGAAAACCAACTGACAAAACACAAACAAATGTTGAATCGGGTCAGGTTAGCAGCGCCCTAAGCCTTGATTAGGGAAGCGGGCAAGAGAGCGAGCGAGCGAGCGAACTAGCGAAGGTTAGCTAAACTGTAGCGGTGTTTCGTGTTGTTTGAGAAAACATGGTTTATAGCTGTGGGTAAAAGAGGGTTAATGAGGAATTTCGGCAATATTAGTCTGGATAAGGAGATCAACGGGGTGGTTAGGAGGGCGATTTTTTAGGAAGGATAGGGGAGAGAGCAAGGCGAGGGTAGTAGTAGTGGTGGTGATGATGATGCCCAGGTTAGCGAAGCCGAGAGGGCATGCACGGGTTCGCCCTCGGCCGGCGGGGATAAAACAATGCGGGCGACGGCGGGCGGAGGCGAGCGCTAGATGTGGGCGCCAAGTTAGCGAACGCGGACGATTTTAGCTTCGATATTCGCTGCGTTTCGCTCGGCGTAGGTGTTTGTGGGCGGGAGCTACGGCTGTTATGATGCCGTCGCCGCGAATACGAGTGATTGACCCGTGAAGGTTAAGCGGGAAAATTAAGGTTGGCGGGAAATGCCTCTGGTCCTCCCGGGTCCGAGCAGGATCTTGTGACGTAGGCGATGACGTCAACAAGTGTGCACTCTGTCATCAACACTATCTGAAGGTGCATAGTCGAGGGCGGGCGTCGAGTTCGCTCACATCTCCGAAGCGTGAGTCTTGGGGCCGGTCGCCGCGTGCAGGGAATAGCAGCTAGCAGTGAACACCGTCCCGTTTCCTCTTAGTGAAACGACGTGCAGCCGGCGGCAGACATCGCTGCATCTTGCATCTCACTTTCAAGATGGCGGACTTGTCTTTAAAGTCGCGAACTTTAGAAGCCTCGCCGAGAGTTTTTAATGGTACTTATTATTACAGATGAATCCTCAATGTATTTATGTAAACGACGCCGTGTAGTAGTGACAGTGTTCTTTCAAAAGTGGGTGTTGTAACCGTCGACTTGAGTGACGCGACACGGCCTGATCGGCGTGTACTCCTGCCACTGCGATTGCAATGGTAGCCATGCTCATGATTGATGTTATCTGTTGCAGACCCCGCCCACTGGAGCGTGGAGGATGTGCGAAAGTGGCTCAAGCTTCAGGCGGCGCAGCTCAACCTCCCCCCTCTCATGCTGGACTTCTGGAACCTGGCCGGCCCGGCGCTCCTCAAGCTGACGGAGGCGCAGTTCCGCCAGCTGGCGCCCGTGGGAGGCGAGCTCCTCTACGCGCAGCTCGAGATCTGGCGCGAGGCCCTGCGCACCGCGCCCAAGCTGCCGCACAACTACTACTGGCACCTGCAGGCCGACCCGCAGGCCGCCGCCATGCCCATCCAGCCCATCCACTCGCAGCCGCAGCCCCAGCAACAGCAGCAACCGCAGCCGCCGCAGCCGCAGGCGCCGCAGCAGCAGTGCCAGCCGCAGGTGTCGCCCAGCGCCCAGATGGGGTCTCCGAGGAGCTCCCCGCTGGGCCTGGCGCCGAGCCTGAGCCAGGTGCCCACGCCCGTGGCGCAGGTGGCGCAGCAGCAGCAGCACCAGCAGGCGCCCTCGCCCCTCCAGCCCGCCCCGGTGGGCCAGCCGCAGCAGGCCGGCGCCGCCCCGCACCCGTCGCCGGCGGCGCAGCAGCAGGCCAGCGCAGGTCCGGTGTATCTGGATGAGCCGTGCCTCGACATGGCGGCCCTTCTGCAGCAGCAGTCCGGCAGCCCGAAGGCCGCCCACGCCGCCTCGGTGCCCGCCCACTCGCCGCAGGACGACGCCTACGACTCTGAGGGTGAGTGTCAGCGGCCTTCGTCAAGCACACGCACACACACACACACACACACACACACACACACACACACACACACACACACACACACACACACACACACACTCACACTCACTCACTCACTCACTCACTCACTCACAAACTCACTCACTCACTCTCACAAACTCACTCACTCTCACAAACTCACTCACATTTACACACACACTCACAACCACACTCACACACGGACACACGTTTAAACATGATTTTACTAACACTCAGCGTGCTAGGACGCGTTAGCCACGCGTGCGCACACACACACACACACACACACACACACACACACACATACACACATACACACACGCACATACATATACATACACACACGCACATACATACACATACACACACGCACA